GTTTATCAAGCCTGGAGACTTCTTTTGGAAATGAGTTTAGAGAACTTTCTTGGGAGGAAGGCAATAATGTGATAATAACCTGGTGTGCACAACCAGTGCCGATTCTAGAGTCTGTGGGGGCCATAGGCAAACATTCACTGGGGGCCCCTCGAACCAGCTTTTCATCACCACGCACAGCCGACAGCACAACCCTAACCTAAATAAGAAGCAGCATTTTACGGCGCGCTATGCATGGGGCCGCCTTGAGGGGGTTTCCCGACATGTGGTTGCAGTAAATTAAAGGGTGTTTCATGTTGTCGTTGCTGTGGACCTTCTTAATCTACCTTCTTTGGGGGCCCCCTTCTGGTCCGGGGCCCCAAGCAGTTGCCTGTCTTGCCTGTCCGCAAGTGGCGGCCCTGTGCACAACTTTCACCCTCTGTCACAGGTTCGAACCCCACTGCAGTCAGCATGTCGTTGTGTCCCTGGGCAAGACACTTCACCCCAGGTCCTTCTCGGATTAACATTTGCTGATTAGCAAATAAAAGAAAGTAGCGCTAAGGCTGAAAGATGATTGGTTTTGCAGGTGTTAGATAATAAACCACTACTAGACAAACTGAAATGTATATGGTGTTAAGCTAAACATCTATTGAATCCATTTATTAGTTACAGGGACATATCAATCCTAAAGAGAGTCACAATAGTTTTGGGAGACGTTTTGCTCTGAACAAAAGAAAAAGTCAGGAGATAGTAGAGCGAGTAGGATTCATCCTCTGGGGACCATGAATGCCAGTACTAATTTAGTGGCAATATATCCAACAGCTGGGCTCTTTGACTTTTATCCATGGGCTGGATCTCCATAAAGCGGGACCAAGCAGGGGTAACAACTGCAATCACTCTTTTCATTTATAGAAAAGAGGGTTGTCATCATTCGTCAAGGAGTTGGTTTTCTTCGTCCGCTTTTCAGCAGGATGACAGAAAAACCACTGACCTCATTTCCATAAAACTAGGTGGAAGGTTGTAAGCTTTGGCCAAGGTACAACGCATTAGAACATTGGAGAGGATCCATATCACGATGAATATACACACAGTAGTTTCCATATTGTCAAACGGCCTTGGCAGAGGTCTGCGCTCTCTGAGTGACCTTGGAGTCAAAAGCGTTCCATCGTATTGTAGGTTTTGTTCAGTGTTGAAACATGCTGGGTCATACTTATATTTTATTTTGGATGAGCCCAATAGTTCAAATCATAGAGTTGTGAAACGGCCAAACACATCTGAAAATGTACGTTACTGTAACATGCAAAGTGATAAGCATTTTGTCTTCATTCATACCCAACGTTCTACCATCGCCCTCGTCTTTCACTCCCAAGTGTCTCTCTCTCTGTCCGTCTAAGTGGCCTGGAGGACTAACAAGTGTTTCATTAAGAGGTGATTATTTGTAGAGCCCTGACACAGTAGGATCAAGATATCCTCATCCCATTCCCCCAACTGTCATCACCACACACACACACACACACACACACACACACACACACACACACACACACACACACACCACACACACACACACACACACACACACACACCACACACACACACACACACACACACACACACACACACACACACACACACACACACACACACACACACACACACACACAACACACACACACACACACCACACACACACACAACACACACACACACCCACACCACAACACACACACACACACACTTTACTCCATATGTCCGACCTATATTCTCCTGCTTTCACACCTCTCACACCCTTCCTTCTGTTATTCCCTCTCCCTTTTTTAATTATCTTTCCCTCTTCAGGATCCTTCTCCCCTGTTCTGTACCTAAGTGCTGGAATATTACTCCATTATTACATCTAATCACGCAGGTACTGTAGGCAGAAAGGAGAATATAAGATGGAAAACGTTCATAAACGCAACAAAATGTGGTTTTAGAACAGAGTGAATATTATCTTCTTTAGGTAGAAAAGGGATTTCAAAGTTCTAGATTCATTTTATTTGTGAATCCTCAAAATTATGCTTATTTTTTAGCTCCAATTTTGTATTTTGTGTCTCTTCTGTGACATGTTTCCATGCTTTTATGTTCAAAAAAGATCTTTATTTTTCTCATATTGCCTGTGCTGCAGCACCTCTTTTCACCCTCTGTCTGAAACCAGAGCCCAGTCTGCTCTGATTGGTTAGCTGGCCGGCTCTGTTGTGATTGGTCAACCGCTTAGAGATCACTCGCCCCTTATCACGTACAATGTGTTGGAGCGCTAGCCAATAGGGAAAACCCAAAAAAGCATAATAAGGCCTCTTTAAAAAAAGGCAATAATCTAATGAAAACTAAACCTGTATTTCACACAATATTAAAATGAACTGAAAGCATGCTGAAAGTATTCTCACATGTAATAGAAAGTATACTGTATGTAACTAAATGTGTCTGCTTGGTGCTAAAAGGCTGATTAGATAATGCTGCTGAAGACCAGCAAAAAACACAGAGAGAAAAATAATGTGAGAAAGCAAAGGAGGAAAAAAAGGGGGGGGGGGTTTAAATAGCAAGGGAAGAAAGAAATTAACGGAGCGAGGGAGAGCAAGACAGAAGAAAGCAGAGTGCTAATAAGCACAGTATGGGGTGAAAAAGAGGCCAAAACCTTGTTTATTGCAATGGTGGGAAGATGAAAGCAAAGGGAGAAGCCTCAGCAATTCTTTTTTTCTGTACTGTATGTGTGAGTTAATGCCACACATGGAAGTGGGAGTATTCTTGAAACTTGAAAAGCTAACACGATAATGATTAATAAATGAACCAGAGCATTTGATACATCTGGTATCGTTGTCGCTTGAATGTTCGATAAAGAAGCGTGTTTATTGAAATCATATTGCTTTACACATGCTCTAACGAGTAACCAGATATCATCTATTAAGATATTTCTCAGACACACAGTGATAATAGTCAGACTAGAAAACAACTGGACCCTCTGCTGGAGGATAAAACAGTGAGGCTACAGGGACCTTTGTCCTTTACAACGTGCCATTACTCTTGTCACAAATCAGCCCTCAGGAAACATGCTCACTCATTTCAGTCTCAATGCACTGAAGAAGCACCGGGTTATATTGAGCATGAATGTGTGTGTACTGCTGTGTGTGTGTGGTCAGAAAGAGAAAGCGGGAGACAGATGGGTCCGCAGTGTTCCCTCGGTGGGTTTGGAGCTGGAACACGGTTAATTACATCTTAATTAAAAATGACCTGTCTGTGCCTGTGCTTCTTTGCACATGGATGACACATGTGTAAAGAGAGCAAATGGAGACCTCTGTGTGGGTATGCAATGTTAACACACAGTATACGGGCTTTTAATGGGTCTATGGAGTCCTCGCTGTCCCATGAGCTCAGCGCTGATGTGCTGTGTTGCGTCTCAGTGGATAATAATGCTTTGTCCCACTTTTCCTAATTATCCATCCCCGGGTTTCTGAAATGCTCTCCATTTGGACAGTCACTTAAGGACAGTTCATCCCAGGCACGGGTACTTGAATGCTATGGGGCACTTCTAGATAGTCTGTTGTTATTTGTTCTTTACTTGCTTGTAAAGCACTTTGAGCACCAGGAAAAGTGCTTTATAAGTAATATGTATTATTATTATTAACATTGCCAGGGAGTTTGTTGAAGGAGCATGGATTGGCTTAAAGGTGGGGTAGGTAATTTTGGAGAAACCAGCTCGAGTGTGCTAGAATTTGAAAATACACAGCCGGAAAAAATCTGCCACTTCCTTACAGAGCCCCTCCTCCAACACACACGAACGCGCACATGACCAATGAGGGCACGAGATAAGTTTGTGCACAGATGGAAGGCTGACAGGCAGGTAGGCCATCCAGTTATTTTAGCCGGGCCGGCTCAAATGATTGGTCGTGCTTTTTACAGTACTACGGCTTCCACAGATGATATTTTTGTATGGATTTTTTGTCAAAGCACTTCAGATATTCATTGCTATCGGGATGTTAAGAGCATTCCATGGAATATAACAAAAAGTGTATCTCGAGCCGGTTTCTCAAACTTACCTACCCCACCTTTAACTCATTCGAAAGTACACCTGAACACCACATTTTGAGAGGGACCAAATTAACAGATGGAAGTGAGTAGAATAGTTGAAACAGTTAAAAGGTAATGGTTAAATGGTTAGCTTAAAGTAATGGATACAAAGTCGCATTAGTTAGCTTAAATTAGTTCATAAGTGGTTGACATCGTTAGCTTAAAGCAATTCAAATGAAGCTCTAATAGTTAGCTTAAACTAATTGAAAAACAGCTGCAAAAGTTAGCTGAAAGTGATAAATAAATCGTTAAAATAGTTAGCCGAAAGTAAAGGATCAACAGTCAAAATAGTTAGCTAAAAGTTAGGGCAAAGAATTAAAATCTGTAATTTGTGTATGAACAGCTTAATAAGCTAGTTAGCTAGCACTAGATGAAATGTGGTCAGCTAAAATGGATGGAGTAACCGTTTAAACAAATGAGGCTGTCAGTGAAAGGCTACTTGAGTTCGTCAGATGGGGTAAGTTTTACAAAACAGGTTGGGAACCACTGCTCTAAGACATGTCACATAATGGAACTGTTCTGAACTGACACACTGGCATAACACGGCAGTTTATAAAGTATATACAGTGACTACGAAAATTACTACTTTTCCATTTGACCTCTGTGATTGCAGAGTGCCAACTGAAAAACCTCTGTTATCAGTCATTTCACATCAGCTCAGTGTGCCTGCATGCAAACCCCCCACCCACACACACACACACACACACACACACACACACACACACACACACACACACACACACACACACACACACACACACACACACCACACACACACACACACACACACACACACACACACACACACACACACACACACACACACACACACACACACACACACACACACACACACACACACACACACACACACACACACACACACACACACACACACACACACACACACACACACGACTGACCATTGTTGGAGCGTAGCGCCCTGGCGGAGATGCCGTTGGTTCCTATTGGATGATGAATCCCCGTCCCATCCACCATTCCCATCCCTGCCTCCCCTGGCTGCTTCATGAGCTCTGTCAGAGTCCTAGAAGAAGGAAGAAAAATACACATTTACACACTTCATAAAAGCATCCTCATACAAGCTGAAAAGTAGACATAAATCACAAAGGACCTCACAAAGGGAAGAGAGTGTTGTCAGGTAAATGAGAAGCTTTGTGAGGAAAACAGAACTCAAGGGAGATGTGATTGGACAGAGTGAGAAACATGATAAAAATAAACACATGTGGAAATTATATACAACAATCCAGAAACTATCCAAACAGCCTTCATGTTAATTCCTCTACCGGAGAATAAAGACAAGTTTGAAACAGATTGTCTTTCAAAACAGAAAATAGTGATGATTAAATTCAAGAGACCGGAAACGAGGATGAAAAGGATGTGTCTCTGGACGGTTGCCAACTGGGAGCATCAATCATTCATAACAAAATAAAATAAAAAATGACTTCCCCTTCCCCCCTTGTTATCTTATATTGTTTGATGCCTTTGAAGAAGTTCTGGTGCCTCAACAGAACTGGAACACTGGCAGGAAACAGCCTTCAAACATGCAGATTTAACTCTTTAGCGCTCACACAACCTGCAGCTGTAAACATGGACTACTTTGTTTTAAATGGACAAATTTTTTTCAAATTTCCAGCTTCTTAAATGTGAAAATTTGCTAATTTAGCTTTTAAATATTTAAAATTATTAAAAATATCTTTTGAGTACAGTACAGTAAAGTACATTTTCCTAATCTTACTTAAATACTTTTACTTAAAGGGGACCTATCATGCAAAATGCACTTTTGTACGTCTTTTATACATGAATATGTGTCCCCGGTGTTCCAGGGAACTCACCAAGTGTCAGAAAACACAACCCTCTCTATTTTCCTCCATACCCAAATCTCTAAAAAAGGGGCTGCAACGGATCTGATAAAAACTGATCCAGATTTGAACACTGTCCTGACATCAGGACAGTGGCGCTACGGCTATTGGGCCAACTCCACCAATCAGGAGGAGACAGCCACGGCCATTGCCGTTCGAAAGCGCTGGAGACGCTGTAGTACATATGCCAGGCCTCTAGATGGTGCTGTTCTCACTGAATCAGCCCTTGCAAAAACAGAGCTAAAAAATGTCAAATTGAGCAAAATGAGGCATGGCTAAAATGCATGATCTGTTTGGTATTTTGAAAAAAAAAAAGTATAAATATGCCTTATATAGGTATGGCCCTACACTATATTATTCAAATATAGCATGATAGGTCCACTTTAAGTACCGCTCTCCATGTATTACGTTTACTTGATATGTAGTATTTTTACTCAAATTGAGAATCTGACTACTTTATCCACCACTGCCTATTCTCTGTAAGATGGAAGAGGAAACAGTGGGTTATAGTGTATATATATATATATATATATATATAATATAGTTTCAGCCAAGTGATCTGATTTGTCAAAGCTTGTCTCATACAAAGCTGCATCACTGTCATATGTGTGATTGCACTTTATTGCAGTAAATAACCCTGGTGGAAAACAAAGAATATTACTTGCCCTTTCAGGTTGTCAGCTACTACATTTTCTCCTGTCAGTATTTGTTTTTAATAAGGTTAAGAGAGAGAAAAAGAACAAATATATTTACCTGCTGTCTGCTCATAAGAAAATGTTGTATTCTTTCCCCCTCTTTAATTGGTTTCGTAAACTTTCCAGTTTTTGCACACATTAAAAACAAGAGTTTGCTCCACATCAACATGTAACCACTGACAAGGAAATTATAGCGACATCGTCAACAAATCAGCTGTGACCTGCGAGCAGCTATCAAGAGACCCATAAATATTTCCTCACTGTTAATCTCACTGTTGAAGCCCTTAACGCAGCCTCTAATACGCAGCAGAGCAACTGTCTTTTTATTAGCCCGCTGTGAAGTGATTACCTGTGGTCATGGGAGCATGAAGCATAAAAACATGAACGCTCCAACTATATAATGCAATTCACAAGTCGTGGTTATTTTTGGGAGGAAGCAGCAGGCACAGCTTCAAAACTAAAATGTATTTGTGCATGGCATTGGCAAGGACGCAAAAAAACAAAACACCAGCACCTAAAGATAGGTTCTTCTAGTGTATTATGGGGGGGGAAATAGGCGTTTGAGCTAGCAGCATTCATTAGCATCTGATAATAATATATGTTATTTATATAGCGCTTTTCCTGGTGCTCAAAACGCTTAGTCATGAGAGGCGTGTGGCGCAGTGGGTAGAGCGTTGGTGTTCGGATCAAGGGAGCACAGGTTCAAACCCCACTGCAGTCAGCATGTCGTTGTGTCCCTGAGACACTTCACCCAAAATTGCTACTGTGGTGATTGTCTGCAGTATTGAGTATGTAAGTCGCTTTGGATAAAAGCGTCTAACAAATAACATGTAATGTAATAATGTAGTCACCAGGGTTTGACATGCATTTGGCGCTATGTATCACATGTCATGGATAAGGTCAATATGTTTATGTTTTTGTATATTTGTGTTTCTTAATAGAAACTGGTATATTCCAGGTCACAATACACAATACATTGTATTTAGCTGACGCTTTTATCCAAACGGCTTACAATAATTGCAATAAATCATGAAAATAAAAGACAGAAGGGTGAGAAACATGTACAGTCACTTCAAATGAGCCAAACCATTGTAAGTTGTAATAAACAACAGAGGTTTAATGGCCCAGGTGCAGTCTAGACAGGTGGGGTTTTAGTCTGCAGATGTATATACTTCCTGTTATCATAGTAACAATGGGGAGCTTGTTTCACCATTTTGGGCCAGGATAGCAAACAGGTGTGTTTTTGTTGAGGTGTACCTGGTCCTACTCGCAGCAAAGGAGGAACAAGTATGATTCAAGCATCTTCTGGATAACATATTAACAATGCTATTGCACTTGGTGCCAATCCATCATGGTAACACATGTACATGTAAGGCCAGTCTACTCACTTTACACATGAAAATGACTTCACTGGTCATGAGTAGTTCAAGTCAACCTGTGATAAAATGTGTAATGTGTGTTTTGGCTCTGGAGGAACTTTGTCAAGTCTGAGAAATGTACCTTTGAGGATGTCATTGAGACAAACAATTCACAACATGCTTATTTGGCGAGGAGCAAGAAGCAATTTTCGGCCAACAGGGGGCAACACCACTGGTTTCAAGTAGAAGTCCAATTCTATAGAAGTCTATGAGAAAATAACCCCACGTTTCACTTGATTTTTAGCTTTACTTCATTACATACGGTTTACTTCCCTGGCTTTAGTCTTTTGATGTGTGTTCATTGACATACTATTCACCACCAGCTGTACCTGAGTGAATACATTCAACACAGGCGGCTGTGGCTCAGTGGATAGACTCAGGGGATAGCAAGTTCGAGTCCCCCTCGTTGTGTCACTGGGCAAGACACTTCACCCCAAATTGCTCCTGTGGGGATTGTCCACAGTATTGAGTATGTAAGTCGCTTTGGATAAAAGCGTCTAACAAATGACATGTAATGTAACATAAGTTTATAAGTTTTAGTTCTCCAACAATTTTTTGTAGGAATGAGCTTTTGAAAATATCCACCCGACACAGAAACTTACAAATTAACTGAGAGGTTGGAAACATGCTCTCCTTGGTGAAAGCAATTATACAGTACAATTCAATTTTTCCTAGACATCAAAGAAATGCCTATTGGTGCTGTTGGGAGACTTTGAGTGACTGCGCAGTACAACGTCCAATCAGAAGTATCGGGCAAACTAAGATTGGTATTTCTTTCCTCTCCCTTGATACTTTTCTGCTGCTAAGGTGCCATTAAAGCTGCTGCTCCCTGGTGCGCATGTGAAAAATACAGAGCTCAGCAAAACCCCGCCAGGATAAATTAACATCAGAAAGTTTTGTTTGATATCGCACCCCTGCTGAGATCATCTCTTCTGGCAAATGTGTACAAGCTTAGAACTGTATTTGTATTCTTTAAACCACAAAGATGTCACTTTTTGACTGATACAAAGAAAGTTACATTGATTGTATTTTTTTAAATAGTGCATTAATGGGTTGCTTTACAACTACTACGGCCCCTGGTAGACCACCACACAATTACAGACTGCTACAATTGAGTGCATTAAACCTGCATTATACCATTTTTTGTAAAATCTACTATGCAATAATCACTGTGAGGTCCATTGCATTTTTTTTTTTCGGAGTGTCTATTTGCAACCAGGTGAAAATAGACACACGGCAGCTATTCGGCTATTTACACCCACCCCCCAAAAACGTCTTAGTCACTGTTTACTGTTGTGATATTTTGTAAATAAAGATACTAAAATTCATCACGTCTCATAACTTCTTTCCGACTGTTGTGGCAGATGAATTAACCCCCTTTCATCAGGGGGGTCTGTGGGACATTTATTACCTTACAGCCATGTTCACAATATAGCACAGGTGTTTTTTGTCCCTGATGTTCAGGTAACCTGCAGGCCATCGTAGAAAGAGCAAGAAGAGATGCATACAGTACAACAGCCGGGTGTAAATAGCTACAGTGCTTAAGATAAGATGTGCCTTTATACATCCACAATAGGGGAATTACAATTTGACGCAGCAGCACAAGGGAATTAAGTTATCAAAGAAAAGATTCCATAAATATCTATACATCCAAAACAGTATCTAATGTGCCAACCCAGTCTCACGGCATTTCGTGTTATAGTCACGAAATTAATTTAATCTATTGATTCGTGTTCACCAACACGATTTTTGCATTTTTTTCGTGTCACACAGAACGATTTTAAAAGCAATGTATTTCTATTGGTAGTATGTTTCGTGCCTGCACCACGTCTTTTTGTCCGGTCGGGTCTTGTAAGACCAGAAGCTGTGTGGTTCATAAAAACATTTTCTTACTCAATATCTAACCCTAAGCCTAACCCTTTTATTTTAAATTGTATAATGTCGGAGTTTTTTTGCTGTCCGCGAGGGAAATAAATGTGGCTCAGAGCCTCAGAATACTGACATCTGTATTTTTTTGTTATTATTTGGTGCAGGCACGAAACATAATACCAA